CAGGTTTGTTTGAAGAATGTTTTGTTTGTAACTTTTTAGTTACAAAGTCCAAAAAGAGAGGAGTATAGAAAATGAAATTATAATAAAATTACATATATCGCATAATTAATATACATGACTGTATTCATTACATGCATGAAGAAATCTGACAAAAGCAGCAAGCGATGTAAGCATAGGTCATGTAATAAAGCGATTGTGCGTATCCCGGTTAATATCGCGACTGCATGCATAAATGATAATTACATGGTAGCGCAATATTTGTCTGGGAACAAACCTGCGACGCGATACGCTTTTACGCGTACCCATTTGCCGCTAATTAATAATGTTATTCGATATTAGTTTGCCAATGAGCGTGCGAGAATCCAAACATATTTGCGAAGGGCCCTACCACTGCCTTAAATATATTTTATTATAATTAGACCTCCGTTATTGTTGCAGCACGAATGTATCTCAACAATTATTATGCTTCGGCATAATGAAATGCGCTTCTCACTTGTCCCACATTTAGCTCGCTACAATAATAATAAACGCACGAATATATGTTTATTTATATTTTCAAATTTATTATTCCCCGCGCGTAAGACTGCGCGCGATATTCCGCCTCCTCAGAAATTTATGAAGCTGAGAACGAGACAATATTTTCATTGAAAATAATAGTCCAGAATTAAACGAATATATAAATAAACGCTGTAATATTTATTTAATATCGGATTGCACTCGTGCGACTTTTTTATATAACAAATTTAACTTGTCCGCTGTGTGTGCTGTGCGCGCGCGCGCGTGTGTGTGTGTGTGTGTGTGTGTGTGAGAATGATTGAATATATGCCAGGCCACAAAATACATGCGCGTGCATCTGCCACAAAAATAATAATAATAACGAACGGTGTCGATTGATTTTATTGAAAATGTTCATCACAAGTTTGAAATACGGCTTCTACCGTTGACATTTCTACTCTCTGGAGTTTATTCGAAGTTTATTTATTTAACTGAGATCACCACGCGTTATCTCACCAACTGAATTTTATTTGTGTTGTTTTTTTTTTTTTAATCTGGACGCGCCTTGTGGCGTTGCTTTCAGAAAAAAGTTGTACATCTTTATAGAGGAATCTCGAATTAATTGTCGAAATCGTTTTCTCTCTCGTCTCTCTGATTTTTACATACACGTGTAAATCAATTCGAAGGAAGGTTTTTTTAAATCGAGACGAATGTCAACAGGTACGTGAACAAAATTACGTGACGGATCGCGACGAATTAAAGAACGCCTCGGGGATCACGTCGAGAATTACGACAGTTTTTACGACGGATAGGCGCGCGAGTCTTTCCCCCCCCCTTTTTTTTTATGGCGACGCCGTCAGGTTATTCTCGAGTTTCATCCGTTTTAGCCGCGCCGATTAAAAACTGCTTTGCGAGAGGATTTACGACCGCGGCATTCTTAGGGTCGTCGCGAAATTTCACCCCTTATCGCCGGACGCGCGGCGAATACAAATCTGCGGGTCTATTTTCAGCGCGGTTATTCTTATTGCGAGACTTCACAAAACGTACAACGTGCAACGATATCGAGCTAGCGAGAGATGGGGCAAAAGTCAGAGGGATCAGTAGCGTGCGACGGAGGACATAAATCTTGCGAGATAAAAATTGCAACGTCAGAAGACCCGATATGCCGCATCGGCCTAGGTACGAATGCGGTCCACCGCGGAATACATCGTTGCGATTTCATTATTCATCCGTCATTCGTATCGATGTATTCAAACGTGGTTAGAACAAAAAGGACCTCACCGTCGCGAGGATCACTCCCGCAAAGGAGTAATTTTAGAAACGGTGCGATTCGTTTTCATCTTGGAGACATTCTCTTTTCCAAGTAGTCCAAGTTTTTATTAAAGATCGAAAAGATTTAATTTTGAAACAGTGCGATTTTTTTTTTCATTCGATTCATTTTCAAAGTAGTTCGCTTTTATAAATTAAAGGAAATAATTTCTAAAACAGTGCGGTTGTTTTTCTATTTGAGAAATTTTTTATTTTTGAATGTATTATCGCTTTTAATATAAGCTTATAAAAAAAAAAAAATTGCGAGACGAGCAAACGAATATTGACGACTTCTGTCGCACAGTGCGAACATAAATTTGTTATTTTTGATCGCGTACTGGATTGTGGACAACATTATAATTACAGCGGGGACACCATGTGTGGCACACTGTTGTCACACTGCGTATGCTACATGGACATTTCAAAAACAAAGGCAACACAATCCTGCGGTGCAACGGATGAATATCAATGTAGTTAGGTCGGTGGAAATGCGGCTACGGTGTTACGAAATTGGCAGAGGCAACACACACGGATGATTTTAATCCTCTCAACCGACTGAAAATAGTTTTTTTTTTAAAGCAAGTTATGCTTTTGCGGCTAGAGACGGATGTAAGCGGATCTTACAGGACGGAGAACGTTTAAACGCAGTTGATATTCCAAGTCCGTCTTGCAGAATTTTACGGTGGCCTCTTCGAGTTTCAACCGGGATATATATAGTTATAATTATAATTTCTGTTGAATTTTAAGTTAACAGATTCGAAATGCTACGACTTCGAAAATGCCGAACCGCGATAAGTTTTCGAATCGAAAGGGGATTTTTTTTTTTCTGCCGAGTGTAGTGTAAGATTTATCGTTGATTAAAAATGACGAGACGACCCGAAAATTAATTGAATCCGATCAACAAAATGTGAATGTGTTTCTGGCGTTTATGCCAATAACTCCAAGCAAAATAACTTGGCTGTGCGCGTTTGATACGCATATCCAATATCAATTTTATCCTCATCGACTCTTCCCTCGGACGAGTACATGCATAAAACATTCACGATATAAATCCTGGTGTGCAAATCGAACAAATTCTGCACCCGCGATGCATATATTCGATATTTAATGCTCCACCTTCATCGGTAGACCGCTACCTTTTTGACTCTTGAAACGCACAATAAACGTAATCATTAAACTTGTAATGACAGTTTTACGATCCCCATTAGCTGTTATAATAAAACAAAAAATTATTACGGCGCGCGCTTGAATGCTTGCATTGAATTGCATATTTTACAATTCCACTCGGGAAAATGATTAATATGATATAATTAATTAATTGTACACAAAGTTAATTAATTAAGGATTTTCAGCGCAGCGCAATGCGACACGGAGATACATTCGTCATTCGTGCGCGCGTTACAATGACTCGAGTCAAGCGGTAGTATCTTTATATTATTATTATTATTTTTTTTTTTTTTAATTGAAGTTTATCGCTATATATTACACGCTACATATATTATATATTATATTATATTGACATATCTGTCATCGGATACGCTGCTCTCGAATGATAAATTATATTTACTACGCTGAAAATGACGCGCATCCGATTAGAGCAGAAAGATAAATCCGAACAATCTACGCGCCGCCTATATACGCCTATATGCGTTGCGTATGTAACGTAATTATCGGTAACTAGGATGACAAATCAGAGCACCGTTCCACCGTTGCTTGCAGACCGAAATGGAAAGTTCCCTCCGCATTTCGAGCGACTCCCGTCTCCGTACGACTTCCTCGTCGTCGCACCCCGGCGTCTGAACTTCGCCTCGTCTGAGCCCGTCGTCCAGCCCGAAAGCGTCGAGCTCCAGGGAATTTGACAACGAGCAAGAAAGATGTAATTTACTTCTTCGTCCGCGGCGTTCACGTTCACGTGGGGGGGGGTGTGACACACGTGACACGAGTACGGCGAGCATTCGTGCGTCCCCCCCAATTGACGATGGCCGTCGACATGCCGGCGTTGTCGGAAGCGTAAAAGCGCGGCGCTCCGCCCGCCCCGAAGATGCTGGTGGACGACTGCGGGACCGGGATGGGGGTGGACTACGGCTAGCGTGCGCGGGGGTTGGTCCACCCCGGCAGGATGCAGAAATTCAGCCATGAGCTTCGGCGGCAGTGTGCCGTCCTTGCACCCGACCGGTTCGATAAGATCGCTCCGCTCCCAACACTCCATGCAGGTGAGAGAGATTAAAGCCGTCCGTTATTGTCTCGCGATTACATCGCGATCGAGTGGAGCCTGAAAAAACTCCGCGAGTTTGAATCTTATACCTCGCTCATCGATTTTTCACCAACTATAAAGTTCATATATGCGCGGCGCATTCGATCCTTTATCTCTTTTTTTTACAAAAAGATGTATAGAATTGAAAAGAGAAACGTAAATATTTAAACTTTTCAGATATTTGGACTTCGATAGATTTTTTTTTTAGTGATATTCGATTTATCTGAATGACGGATACGGAACGTGGAATTTTGGAATTTCATCTTCCACTCTCGCTGTTCAGTTTAAAAACGCGTCTCGATATCCCGGCTATTTTTTTTTTTTTTTTTTTTTTTTTGTAACTCGTTTGAAGATAGAATTCATTTCTTGCGTGCAAAGATAACAAAATATTTTTAAGCTTAATATAGCTCCTTCCGAACGGCCGGTATATCTTAGCGCTCACGTTATTTACGCGATAAAATTTTTACGTACGATACCGGTGAATTATTATTAATATCTTGACAAAAACGATCTTGTTGCACGATATTACGTAGCGGCGTCAGCCGGACGGAGCAATATTTCGTGGTAATAATAATAATAATAATAATAAACATTGTCTACACGAACACTCCTCCACACTGCGTTCACCGCCTCTCCCGCTCAAGCGCGTTGAAAATTCATCTTGCTTGCAGGCTCCGCCCGAGACACCGCGAAGATGCATACATTGTCATCCGGTACATGTCCCCAGCACCCCCAATAATTACATGCAACATCCCATGCAGTATTATACGCCGACTCATTGTATGGAGGGTCAAAATGGCACGTACACGCCACACCGTGGAAGTTCGTATCACGGCGGTGAGTTAGTTTTTACACACAGTTGATACAGCGAGAGTGCATTTTAAATAATATTTCGCACAAGGATTAGCAGCCTGTTTTTCCTGTTATCTTAATATTAAATGTTATCACAAATTTTAATTCGACACGGACGCGGGATTTTATATGGAGCGCAGTTAAAGTTGCGCGAATATTCAAACATTTGAATTTACACTACTATTGAATTTACTTTAATTAAATGACCTAAATTAATTAATCGAGTTAATTTAAAATTACGCGATACATTTAAACGGAATTTATGTAATAATGTCGCGATATTCGTGCGCCGTATACTCAGTTTCTTAGAGAAACTCATATTGAAAGCCGATAGAAGAATATAATTACGAAGAATATAATTATTTTCTTTTCATTGACTTTTAAAGAATACTTTCGTTATGAGATGAATTATTTAGCTAGCGAGATTCAATAACGAGGAGATAATTATATAATTTTTTTAACATTTTTTTTTATATTGAGATTTTTCGAAAATACTTTTGTCACGAAATAATTCATTCAGGAAGCTTGATGCAAATCTGATACTCTATGTGTACGTTATATATACGTCGCTTCTTCGTGGAACGCATTGGTAGTTTCAAAATTTTCAATTTTCCTTGTTCTCCAAATGTTATTTTACTTGCCTTTGTATGGAGACAGAAAACAAAAGAAGTAGGACAAGATGAAAAGCTTACGATGGGATACGCTAGAGTAAGAATCAATTCCACTTAACTATCTCAAAGAGTATCTTGAAATTTTGTGCTTGATGTATCGTTGAAAACAGTGTCTGTCAAAAATGTAGGTCAACCGTTGATTTTCAATCTCTACTGACAAAGAATCCGAGTGGCAGTCGGAATTGTAGTTTTTGTTTGCTTTACTTCTTTTGTGTGGAACTACCCGGCAATTATCTATCGTAATAAACATGGAAAAAAATTCGGGATGTTCTTTTATCTATCGATTAGCACAAATAAAAAGTACAGAAAATATCAATACGCAATGCTTTTCTTTGAAGAAAACTGTTATGCAAAAGATAATAATGGGAAAAGGTAATGGGAAAAAATTTTAATTATTTTTCATATTAAAAAAAATTATTCTTTTTTTTTTTTTTTTTACGCGCATCTCTCGCGGTAATGATAGCGAAGCGAAGATTTTGCAACAATTTTATCAACTTTGAATTGGAAATGGAAACACCCACGGAGCTAAAGTTGCTTCACATTCGAAGCGTATGTATGTAGTCTTTTTTTTTTTTTTTTTTTACTATCGAAGCCCTTTGTGTATTTATTTTATTTCGCAATCATCGCGCATTTCTTCGAAGCGGCATTTTAGATATTTCGTTTTAGATTCCGCGCAGCGGAAATGCGATGCGTGATTTCACTAAGGACGCGGCACGTCCGCAAGAAATGTGAATTTCTTGCGAACGTGCCGCTCCTCTTCCGGCATCAAGAGGGGGCAACCCTCGTAACTCCAGTCCCACGACAATTTTGCCCTCGGTGCCATCGTCGACAATTTCTGTGTCTCGCGTCATTTTCGGCAAAATACCTACCGTCGCCTAGTCCCTCTTTTTTCCTCCCGCCGCGTTTTCCTCCTTTACACGTTCCACCTTTCATACCGTATTTTCATCATGTTACGGGTAATGAAGAACATTTCATTCTCGTTGCTAATTTGCCCGCCGTAATCTAAAAGGCGGATGCGCGACGTTTCTCGTTATCGGCGACGACAACGACGACAATAACCCCGGCATCGTACAAATGATCTCCTCCAAATGGTTTTACACGTGGAACATTAATAATAAGCGCAGCATGGGAACTCGCGAGGGAACCTATCCACTTACGAGCATGTTAGTTCCCGGGGATTGAATTGCATTGGCGAACGCAGTTTTACTCGTACCGACATGGTGGTACAGGATAATTTACAACTGATGTCAAACTGTTATATAACAGGGAGACCACTCGGCGAATAAATTAGAAATTACGAAACTGAGACATCTGCAAATCTAGTTTTAATCGCGTGTATATAAAACGAAGCGTAAAATCGAGTTACGCACGTGCGAATAATATCACCGAACCCTTAGAGAGAAACCCTTCTCAGTCGCTGGAAAAAAAAAAAAAAAGGAATTTCGATGAAAAAGAACGGAAGAATTAGTTTTAATGACTGCGAATTTTTTTGAAAGTGGATGGCGATTTTTCATGTCCAGTTAACGTGAGACTAGAAAAATCAATTAAACTATAATCAAAAACACTCGTTGAAGCCGGGCCCACTAGACCTGCAAATTTAAATAACGGCTGTAACACACTCGAATTCGATTTTTACTAGGACTACGCACGGCTTTGCAAAGAGCCCAGTGGTGTTTAACATTTTAACACTGTTAATGGAAAAGTTTTATATTCGGCGCGACGCACGCATACTCTATAATTCAGTTAAATATCCTTTTCCGCGATCGAGCGGAAAACCAGAGGCTGAATCTGAATTCATGGTTTTTCACGAGACGTAATAGGGCCGCTCCTATTTCGCGATCATCAACCCCCTCTTCCTTTCTTCCCTCGTGACCCGCCCTTTGACTTGGCGGTCGACGTTACCCTTTTCAACCTGCCGCCTTCGTCGCCCCTTTCAAAAGTGCATTTACCTACCCCCTCGCTCCTCCACTTCCTTCCTTCCTTCCTTCCTTCCTACCTATCCACTTCCCCACCTACCCCCTTCTCATATCGTTTCTTTCAACTAGTTTCTTGCCCCATCTCGCGCCCTCGTCTCCCGCAAACGTCGCCGGCCGCAAGTATCGTCGTCGCGGAGCAGCAAACAGCCGTTTTTTCATTATGCGGCAGAATATTCGACGTCTTCGCCGATGGTATCGTATTATTTTCAGGAATTAAGTGTTTCAATTCAACGCCGAAGCAATTCCCCGAACGGCGCAACGGTGCCGTTCGATATAGACCGCTCGCGGGGGTTGTTCGGCGAGCTCCATTCTAAGAACATTTGCCTTTTCGCTATTGTTTAATCCCAAACGAGGGAGCAACTCGCGAAGTTACTTGTACAATTATACAATTGTACAATGACCGCGCGTCATGATTAATTCACGATTTCATTTTCACAGACACTCGTCTGCGTTACGTGGACGGCGATGAAATCATAGGGGGTAACACGAACTGGGTCGATCTGCGCAGTCTGCATCGTTGCGTACCCGCCCCTCGTCGTACAGGTAAAGTGATATTAATTTCGCAATAAAGTATCCCTTCGTCGTTCCTTCCTTTCGCAACGTTACATATTTGAATATTCAGCGCGTAATGTCGCGCATGTTGCATTAATAAATTATTTGAATATTATGATTATTATTAGGAGAGAACAATTTTGCAAATCTAAAAATTTAGTCAGATACAAATCTAAAAGTAATTTTGTTGGATCATCAAAATTATTATGCAGGATGCTTATAATAATAATAATAATAATAATAATACCGCAAAAAGTTTTTGCAGTATTTGTTTTAGCAACCAATTTGAATATTATACATAATAATTCTGAAAGCCCAGATCTGGCCAAATTTGTAGCAGAACTGTCAGCAGAACTGTCCTCTTCGCGTATCAAATAAATAAATATAATAATAATGTTAGATAATAATGAACGATATTAATAAGTGAGGAAATCGATGAAACAATAAATCGCAAATAAAATAAATCCAACTTTTGTCCCGAGACTTATAAAAGTCATAAATTGTGAGCTACTTTGCCGCCAGTTAGTTCTCCACTCATACGTCAGAAAATGTCCCATCGAGAGACACGCAAGACTACTACTAAATCCGTTCTTGCCGCGGAGAGATATTCCATTATCGAGTAGTATCCGAACCCGATTCCGCGATTTATCTCTGAATTATAAAGAGGATAATCTTTTCTATCAGGGATAGACGTCGCCGGTATGCGGGCGCATTTCTATCCGGAGGGTGGCTGGGGCTGGCTCGTCTGCGCCGCCGGTTTTCTCGCCCTGTTGCTCACCACCGGGATGCAGCTCGCCTTCGGATTACTTCATCTTTACGCCGCGCGACATCTCGGTGAGGTCCATTTGATGGACATAGGTACGTCAAGTATCTACATTGTTCTTCCAACGTGTACAAAAAAAATCGTTCGAATAGAGCGCCGTCTCGGAATCGCTCCGAGTGCTTCCTTCATCGTATGGCGGACGATTTGTTAAGAGAAATGTCAGCTATTTTAATCACGGAATGTCGAAACATTCTTTAAATATCGAAAAATATCCACCTTTCCCGTCGCATCGATTTTCAATAAAATCCCGTCGCTTAATATAGGGTTATATAACGGATAGTACTATTTAATGCCAAATCTCTCTCTCTCTCT